CTCTGTTGCCTAGTAAGAATTATAAAAAGGTAGAGGCTTCTTTGAATCACAATATCTAACTTACAGAAAGGAGTCTATTCTCCTTACTTTCTTCCACTGTGTTCCGGTTAAAATACTGAGACTGTGGTCCTGTGAGAAACCAAACACCTCCAGGGAACTGCAGAGCAAATTTAGAGCACTTAGCACTCCACTGAATCACCTCCTATCTTAAAAAGAGTAAGGAAGGAACTGATGGAAGTTATCAGATTAAAAAGTGATAATCGCAAAAAATGCAAAAAAAAATGCTCAAAAGCACAGTGAAAGAAAATTCTCCAGCGTGCAGAAAAACAGCAGATTTTTTTTTTTAAATAAAAGCAACAGCTAGATTTCTTTGCAACATTGCCTGGATTTTTTTTGTTATTTTCCCCCAAAAAAGTGAGTAGGCAAGTTTGTGCTACACTCTTTACAATATAAAGGAAGTTCTTTTCATCCTTGGATGAAACATTAAAACCTCTAAAGGCCTCACTCGTTCACAGATGGGAAATGGAAAGCCTTCCTGTCATATATTTTGAAGACAATATCCTTTTTTCTGGAAATGCTGATAAGGAACAAATTCAAACTGGTCCTCATCCGCCTGGATCATCTTATTTATTAAAAACAATGGTATCTTTTAAACCCTGTATACTAAGCTATCGGTCAATTTTGATTGACACAAATATTTGTATTAAAGGTTACATACTGCAATTTACAACTGGGTACTATCACAATACTGTATGTTAATGTAATCAGTATTTTCATTTCATGAATTCATTTGCAGCATGACACTGCAAGGGTATTCTTACATATATTGAAGACACAATTGTTAAGTAGTTCAACAGTTCTCTTTAAGTGGGATTTTTTTTATCTGATAAATTTTTAACACAATAAAACCACTCCTATTTCTGTGTGCATGTTTTAATTTCCCACCTTTTAAAGTGTTTAGACACTTGGAATACCTAGCATACTGAATTAATCCACAAATATTTACAAGAAAAATCTATTTAATTTCTTTCTATAGTAACTACCACAGGGACCATTGTAATGAAAAATTTCCCATCTTAAAGAATTAATGCGATTACTGATATAGAGAAAAAATGTAATTTATATCATCACAAACACGTAAAAGATATAATCCCATATTCACAAAAAGATTCTTTATTCCCTCTTTGAATTCTGAGACAATACTGTCTTGCCTTGAGGAGAACAGAAATATTATGAAGTACCTTAAGCAAGATAATTGTAAGAGAAAAAACTACAATTGCATTATTGTTGTGCTAAACTGTGACATACTTAAAAAGCTAATTTCTTTTATTATAATGGAATTTGGTGTGCATATCCTTTAATCTACTTCACTGTTTCTTCACATTTTTACACACAAACATGTGTGTAAAGTGTTTCCTATTACATGTGCTACCTGGTCGAACAAACTGCAACAAATGTAGAACAATTAAAAATATACTTGGCAATTCCATAAACTTCACTAGATTTTTTTTTTAACAGCTTTGAAACTAACCGAACATCTAGGATGTCACAAAAATGTGCAGCAAATGAAAGATCTACTGCAACTCAAACATTTTTCAAGAAGACACGATCAATATTTTATGAAAAAGTAACATTTGACATGAATGACTGTCCCAAATTTTACCAAAAACATTTCAACCAATCACAATGCTGAACAGTTTGCATCTAAATCAAAAGCTAAGCAAACAGAAATGTATCCCCAAAATAGGGCTTTTTACAGCTATGTCAGTTAAAGTGCATTGACTTTTAAAATTTAGTACAGTCACTCCTCAATTATTCCTTTCAATTAAATAAATTTTAAACAAGAAATTAATCTGCTGTGGCTGGTCATTTCTCTATTCTACAGAAGCAAACATTTTTTCACTTGTTCTCCTTTAAAAAGCAAATTTAACAAAACTACTAAGACAAAAAGGATGACCTAATTATTACTAAGTAATATTTAAAGCTTTTATATATAGTACAGTCTTACTACCACCCCTAACTTCCAAGGCTTTATCCTCACCGATACTGTTTGATTTATCTGTCGCTACTGCTTGAGCACGCAAATTCATATTGTCCGTTCTTGCATGCATCCAACATACACAGAAGGAATCAAACTGTAAATAAAATTTTCTGTGACCCTTGACAGAAGGAATTGTCAGGGCAGCGGTGTCCTCAAAAGCAAACAGGGTCACCCCCAGTCACCAGAGGCCTTCAACGGGCAGACCCAGGCAAAACTGCTCAAAGGCAATAAAGAAAACTCCCCCAACCAGCAAGAAACAACACTCAGAAGTGAGTTACAGGAATCTCTTACCCTTTTCTACCTATGAGCCAGTCCCACTAGAAAAGTTAAACCCTGAACAGATGCTCTCCCACTCCTCGCCACTCAGGAGAGCGGGACACAAGCTATGGCAAGCAATGAAAATGTGTCTTGTGTTTATTTCCTTGTAACTCAATTTCTGTTAAAGCACTGAATTATTAGTACTATACTAATTAAGTTCTTTTCAGTTATCAGAACAGATTTGACCAGCTAGTTGTAAAAAAACCATTCATCTAAATTAGAGTAATATTGGATAAAAAAATGTAGGTCACTGACAAAACAAACCATCAACAAATATTGCCAGCTTGCTGTTCAGGAAGGAATTTCACCATGAGCCTTTCTTTGCTCTGTTCAGACCCAAATTCTCACATATCCGAGCCTTTAAGCACATGCTTAAAAAAGCTTTGCAGTGTTAGGACCTTCCGACCGGCGCACAGGACACGGGGACAGCTTGCGATGTAACCCCTGCGGTGAGTGTGCCCTCTTTCCCAGGCTGTGTGACCTGCTCGTGAAATCTGTGCCCAAAACTAGAAGATTCTGTACTAAAAATCAAACCACGTTGTGTCAGTGTAACGATAATGCCCAATTACACTCACTCTCTACACTGCGAAGCCTCTACGCTCACAGAATGGCAGTGAAATCAGAGTCATGCCTATGAAAATACCTACAGTGCGATACACAAAAGAGACTTTAAAGGGATAGTTGTGCAACACCAGCCTTCCGCATCTGTGCTACAAGTGGCCAATTCACATTATATAGCAACGGCCTACAGGCCTCTCATGTATGTCACTTTTTCTAATTAGAATAAACAAATAAAATCTCCAATATTCTCCTCCAAGTTGCCCTCATTTACTGTGAAAATTCTTTGAGAGTTTGTTAGCTGTATTTTTTAGAGAAGAAAAGCATATCTACGAAAGAATTTTTTTTATTGACTCATGTGTATTAATATGGTTTTTATAATCCAAAACCAAAAATAGTCCTTTAAATAAAAAGTTTTTAGTTAATATCAGTGTTTTGGAGCCTCCCACTGGCAGCCATCACACAGCTGAAGTGAACTAGCAGCTGAATGGAGGGTTTATAGCCAGGCATCAATGACTATCTTGCTTTAAAAGAAAGGAGTATTTCTGAGTTCATATTTTAAATGCAATTTAAAAGATCATAAAGGAAAGAACCCAGCATTTATTGTGTGTCTCCCAGCAGACTACTTAATGTTCAAACATCTACTATGCAAAGGTCAAATGATTTCTCTGAATGTAAGGGTGACAAAAATATTCTGCAGCACTGAAAAAAATATCAGATGATCAAGGAAAAAGATACAGACCCAAGATCTTCCAAGAATCACAATAAATAACGTAGATTCAGTTCAGTAAGAAAGAAAATTGCAAAGTTGTGTCAGGAGAACCAGATTAAGAAAGATAATAGGTAAAATATAAATTACATACTTTTGGCAATGTTCTTCATAAAGGAATATTTTAAAGAAATACAGCAAATTTATTTTTATAAAAAACCCAAACTTTTCTTACACAAATATTGCTTGCACAGAATTGAAAAAAAATGTATTCATATGGGGAACCTCTGAGGTATTCTGCTGTAGGCAGCAACATGGATAGCTGAACTCAAACAAAAATCTAATGTAAACAGTTGTGCTAGTTGTAACACACACAGGGTAAAGCTGCAGTGAGCACTCATTCAGGAATGAGACAGATTATAGGTAAAACCAATATGAAAAAAATGCACTCAAATCTTATCTGAAGCAAACAGCAAAGGCCAATAGGTACCAATTTATTTCCCATTTTATTGTGCTTTTCCTTCCTTGACATTTACATCAAACATTTCAGGCTGTCATTCCTTCTAACATAAAGAGGACTCACTTGCTGGTGGCCCTGGCTCTTCAAAGTCAAGATCCCACCACCAACTAAAAAGAGCTGGAAAGAAGAACAGGGATTGCCTGTCTGCCTCTGTGATCTGCTGCTGTGTCAGAGGCATTTGGTGGTCACCAACGGCACTTGATCTGGGGAGATCCCAGTGGATCTCTCCACACCAATGGAGAGGAACACTGAGGGCAGGAGGCAGAAATGCAGCTGAGCGGCAAGTGAGAAAAAAACCCAACAAGCAGGAGTAAAGCATGTGTAGAGGGAGTAGGTGGTGGAAAATTATATGGACAAAAAAAAACAAAACAGAGGACAAGTCAGCAAAAAAGTTAAGAGACAAGGGAACAGAAAATAGGGAGTAAGGTAACTAAGAGCAACAGTACAATGTGATGTTCACTTTCTGGAAAAGAACACAGCATTTCTCACATTAAAGAAAAGTGATGGGGGTTTTTGGTTTGTTTTGGTCTTTTGGGGTTTTTGTGTACAATAAACAAATTAACAAATCTTGACTGATCTTGTACTCTAACATCAAAACCTGAATTTTGATAACTTAAGCTGGTGTATCATTAAAAAAAATGAAGCTCTGGATAGATGTTTAAAAAAAAATTAGACATATCCAATAAAATACCAAGTAAAGATGGAAAATAAGGTGCTAAATTGATATTACAACTGAATGAGACTTCTGTTAGCTAGCTCACAAAAAGAAGAACAGTGTAGATGCTACCAATTTTATATATTAATACAATGATATGGAATTTTGACTATTAAACTATGTTCAGAAACATACATACGTTTTTTTCTGTGCTCAACCAACCCAACAGCCTGCTTTGCTGAGCATTTTGAAAACCAGTTGTCCCCAAGCAGAACAGTAACCTCATTGGTGTGGACAAGTTTTCCTGGCATGAAGGCAAGAGGACCAAAAGGTACCTGTTAAAGGCACAGAAGAAACAGCTGAAAATCACCAGTGAAAATAAAACTTAAAGACAGTCATTCACGTATTAGTTTAAAAAAACCCACAGACTTATAGAAATAAAAATTCTACAGCAATTATTTAATGACTAACCCTTTATAAATATTCAAATGACCAGATCCATTTGAATTTATTATTGTACTTACAAAATCAGAAAAGTAGTATTTAACTAGAAAACTTGTTTTGTGACATAAAACTGTAGTATAGCTGAATGCTCACATGGAAAACAAATTCACTTAATCCTAACATGTAGTCCTTGGTAATAAATACATTATCATTTAAGTGAGCTATGTAAGTGTTATACACGGACTACATTCATTTCCTAGTAGAACCAATGTAGCTTTCCTAAATTTTGAAAATACTTAAATAGGTATGGTCAACTCAAAGCCGAGTTGCTTTTCTCAGTATCTGTCTTGCTAACAGTAAGTACCTAGAAACCCCAGTGTAAGTTTGTGGGACTACTAGCAGGATCACAGACCATGCTTAATCTCGCTTTGTTTAATCATTCAGCAGTATGCAGAGCTCAACCTTGCAGCGGTGCTCCACCAAGCAACGCCCGTCCTCCAGTGACTCTCCAGGCACAGAACAACACATCTAACCACAACACTCCATCCAGGAGTACACTGGCGATAAACACATTTTATAACTCCAGGAGGTGCTTCTTAAAACATGTAATCCCCATCTTAACACAGATGACAATCTATGGGGCACTGCTTTTGTGAATTAAGACACCTTCCACAGCCCACACTTTACAGAGGGTGCTCGGGCACGTCCTGAGGCTCAGGAGGAGCCCTGGCCACCCTCACTCCTGTGTCCTGCACCAGCTCCCTGCATTCTTACCCTCAGACCTACTGCCAGCTGCCTGGCTGCCCTTGGGCTTCAATTGCCGAGAAATTAAGAGACCAAAATCTAATTGAAGTTAAAATAGAGGTGGCAAAAAGCTAAGAACCAGAGCGAGCTCAAGTTTTCTCTTCCTTAGGGTAAAAAAGAGATCTGTCTCACCTAGTTTGTATTGGTTCCTTCTACTTTATTCCTCTGCTGCCTTCTTCACTTCCTCAGGATAGCCTCTTGCCTTCTTACTGCACTTGTGCTTAAGCAGAGCACTTGGCCTGGCGGAGCTGTTTCCTTGGAAAGCCAGCTTCCCTAGGTTCAGTACCCAGGAGGGCACCAACGCTTGAAACAGTTCTGCAGTAGGCAGGCTCCTGACATTAAGACTACGCACAACGTGCTTTTCCTACACATGTACCCTTCCTGACTTGGTTTTCAAGTAGCGACTGCACCATTTGCCTGTTCACTCTTCCCCAAAATGATGAAAGCAAAACGGAAAACATATTAAAATACTTGGCTAACAGGAGAGGAACTATTTATATACATTTAAAATAACAGATGTGAGTTTACATTGCTGCTTTAACAAAGAGTAAGCCCTATCTAGCTTTTTTAAAAATAGGGTTTTTTCTATGCTTCGAAACAACACCATCTTTTTGCCTTACATCATGTGGCCACACATATACACATGGTGATGGGACTACACACATATGATCCAGAGCTGAATCTTTAGCACAGGAAAAGGAAACACTCTTTTCCCACATGGTATTTGTGATCCAAAGCTGTCTTACTAACAACTCAACTCCGTATGCTGAGCCAGGTTGCCAAGGAAGAAAAGCAGCCAGGCACTTTGTGCTGAAATTAGCCGTTCAGTTACCTACAGCCCAACTTCCCTCCCTTCAAGGATATATCTTGACTTGGACATGAGAAGGAGGGAGGAAAAAAAAAGGAAGAGAGAAAAGCCAGTTTGGTCAAAATTCTGATGAGTGCAAGCCAACGGGGTACAGTTTACACCGGGAGCTGTGCAGTTGTTAGGAAAGATTCAAAGCAGTAGAAAAGATGGCTATGTCAATGTGAAGATTGGTGAAACAAAAATTAGCAGCACCTTTTTATGTAAAAATCAATGTTCTAGGGTTTATTTCCATGAATCAGGAAATACTACGGCCACTTTCTTCTCAGGAAATGACTAAGTACCGTAATTCAGTCATAATTATAGTTTTCTGTACAATAGATTTACATATCAAACATGTCAGGTTTTGTGTTAGCATTTATGTCATCAGTGCTCCGTTGTCAGTAACACTGTAATTTATAATGGATTTTAAAGAAAAGAGAAAGAAACAAAAGCAAAGGTTTAACTATTATCATAATAAATGTAACATTATAAAGCTCTACGTGGCTGCCTGAATAACACCTCACCACCAGTGCAGATACGTCAGTTACTAAAAATTTTAGCCCATTTCCTTGTGTGAACTCTACAGCATACATACCATGACATCATAGGACAGTTTATCAGGCAACGTACGGAGTCGTTCCTGAAGAGCCTCATAATCGCTCTCCACCTTCCTCCTGTTGACAAATTCAAGGTGATTCAATTTCATATGTAAAGTAAAAAGTTAATGTTCTTCTGCTACTAATTCAACAACACACAAAAAATACCGAAAAAATAAACAATTTTACTCTAAAACACATACAACAACTTATTTATAAAAAATGGGATGACAAATTTAACAGTGAGATTATTTTAGAATAATGTGTACTAAAAGAGGGACGATTATTCTAGGTGGTGCATGTCTCTTCCTGAATTTGAATTTTTTATGGTGCAAGGAATCAGTTCTTTCACTAGGATTTGGCATCTCTCACTCCATGTTCAAGTCCAACTGTTATACCACCATCAATATTTAGAAAAATAACTGAAAACCCAGTTTTACTATAAGAGGCAAATTCTTCAAAATATCACTTGTAATAAAGGATTCATTACCTTGGTTTGAGCTGAAATAAATGGGCAAAATTTTAATTAATTCTGATTTTCATGTGAACTTTGTGTTCCTACCAAGAGTCAACACTCCTGAAAGATGAAGTGACCACCAGGATTCTGTTGCATCTTCAGTCCCTGACAAGGGACAGTACAGGTGAGGAACATCCCTTCTGCTGCTTCTCTACCCAAAATGTAAATAAGGCTCAAGCTATATGTTGCTACCCAAGACAGAAACGGCTTGGTGAACTTAGACAAATTATTCCCATGACAGACACCTGGCTCTTCAGAGGACTTTGCAAGATACAGCATTGCAATTGCTATGGGGATTTTCCTTTGTGTGCAAAACAAGCAACTACACACCCCCTACAAAAGCCTTCTTTTGTGAAGGCATTATCAAATACTTAAATTTGGCTGGAAAAAGTTTTTAATGGACCACTGCCATTCTGCAGATGGTCAGAAATCAGCTCCTGCATGAAGCAGCTGGTATATAAATGTCAGGTTTGATGATATTGTTTACTTGTACTTCAAAATAGTAAACATATATACGGTAGTAAATTCTGCAGCAAAAGGCAACTAAAAGCACGGAGCATCACACTTAACAACACTGACCCAAGATGCAAATTACAGGTTTTCTGAGGATGATTCAGGAAAGCAATCTATAAATGTGCTAAAAAATGAATGTCACGGTAACACAACTCTCAAAATATTATCATTGATTTTCTTAGATTCATAAGCAGACTGAAATCTTCTTCAGCATTCGTTATGAAAAATTATCTGACACTCCTGTTTTGACTGACTTGCTTCCATAGTTGAACCCTGCTTTATACCTGGACTACTTCATATTTTAAGTTACGGAGAAAAATAATTTATGTTTTTGTGCCACTTGAACATTTAAACTGTATCCCATACGACTGAATTACAAAAGACGCCTGCTGCTGCTTTGGTTTGACACACAGACATTTGAGGCAAGTTTCTCTGTCCACTGCCCACATCTGAGTGAAAATACAACTCACCTCCTTCAAAGAGGAGGGCCAAGCTCATGACTCTTAACAGAACTCCCTGGGATATTTTGGAGGGGAAGCAATATAACAACTTGGTGTCTACAATAACGATCAGTTACCTAATGCTATTTACAGAATCCAGCCTCTGCCTCACAGAGATCTGTATTTGAGAAACAGACACTGATGCTCTACAACCACTCGCTGAAAAACCACCACGGTCCCCAAGGCGAAGGCCTTGCCCACGTCTCAAATGCAAAGAGAAGGCTCCATGGGAAGAGAATGGTATGAAAATCCCCCCACTCGCAGCAGGATTAAACATTCCCATCATTTCATGGCTGAAAGTCACTCAACATTTCTTCATTAATCTGAAAAGAAGATCCTGCCTTTAAGGTCTGACTGCTGCCCGATACTGAATAATCTGATTAGGGTACAGCAGAAATCACTCACTACAAAAGCTGTTTTGCTTTACAGAGCAAAGTATGTCTCTTCCTTCAGTGGGACTATTGCCCTTTGCCGGCCAAACCTCCACCATGGGAATCTCTAAAAGTGTGGCTACATCCTGAACTGGACCATCAAGATAAAGAAAATTAAAATCAATCCTTTTAATTAATTGGCCTGAAACAGCATTACTTAAGGAAGGAAGCTGACCTCCCTCTTCACCTGTAGCTGATGGCCACACGAGCTCTGGGGTGTGATATGCTCAGTCCCCATACACAATGAAGAACCAAAGTGAAAGGGAGGATGAAGATCGGGACTCAGCTGTGAACATGTCCCCAGAAAGGGAAAAGCATATCTAGATGTTTAATCCCACAGCAGACTCATTACTGGATTCACGGCTTTAGAAATGTACTTCAAGAAGTGTACTAAAAAATGAAAAAGAAAATAATTTAATGGAAATATATTGAAGCTGAGCGTTTTAAAACCCTATTGTTATTCACCCAATTCTATTTAACATTCTTCTGTGTCACCGACTACTTAAAAGGTCTTATATGAACAAATTACTCAGTTGAAACAAGAGCACTCAGCTCTTGCACAATCAAGATCTAAGAAGCGTACTAAATTTTAAATAATTTTTTATAAAGTAAAGATTGTATGGATGCTGTATAAATTGCTTTTCTACATAAAAGATATCAGAGAGTTAGGTGTCCTTTTTGACATTCTGTGCCCAAAACCCTGAAGTTCATGGGGCCATGGCCATAGTTTGCATAAAAGCAAACACACGAGCAACTCTTCCGTCCACAGCCAGCCCTCCCACTCCACGAACCTCAGCCATTTCTAGAAGAGGAAGCAATTGTCACAACTTTCCAAACTTATAAAAATCTTTTTGAATGTTAAGGCTTTCCGTCAATTACTTTATTTCTGAAAAATACTGTCTCTTAGTGAAAGGATGTATGTGCAGAATTTCACATGGGACCAACTGGTACAGACACTGCAAAGCTCCTGAGAAAGTAAGTGTGCTGGGGATACAACGCCTGACTTCACCACAGCAGCCCCAGCAGGCACTTCAATAATATTTCCCTTATTGAAAATTAATGCAGTCTCTGAATTTTAAACATAAACGAAACATATTAGTTTTAGATTATTTTTGAGAGCCAATAGTCAGAATTTAATATGATGATGTGTATAGATTGCCTTGATTTTTTTCCTCTTATCCAGTGCTTGCAGCCTATGTGCATTTAAACTAAAAACATTTGATACACACTAAATATAAATTATTTGCTTGGAGATCTTTCAGGCATGAAGAAAAAGCCTCTTAAAATAAATTTAAAATATTATATGCTTGATGGTGTATAACCAAAGGTTTAATCTCACCACTAAAGGGGCAGTTGCTGTGATTCTGCAATAACCCTGCAGACAATAATCAAGACAGCTCCTGTTGTTCTCTCAGTAAAATCATGGTAAACACAGCATGGATATATTGTAATTTGATATCTGTAAGATCAACTGCTATATCTCACAGTAACTCATAATATAAGATTTCATTCACCATTAAATGTACATTTTCCTCAGATGCCATACAAAACTACAATTTACTAAGCATGTTTTCTATTAACCATAGATTGCCAACAGAGAAAAAAGTGCCCAGAGATAATTTTTTTTACATAATAAACCATTTCTTTCTAAGCATTACAAACTAAGCTTTATCACATACTTTACTGGGGGGAAAAACAGGGAAACATTACTTTCACATTGTTTTAGCAGATGGAGGGGGGAAAGCAGAATTTCCCAACTTGCTCCATAGTTGGAAAGAAAACAAGAACATTAATTCTGCCCTGGGAGTACCTCTTCACCAATCAGGCAAATTCAGCGTTCATCCCACAAGGTTACTTGGGGGAAAATGACAATGAGCTGGGTATTTAAAGCAGAAGTAGAAACACTAAGACTCAGTATATTTGTGATTTAAAGCAATGATATTGTGGAAAATAGACAGATTTTGAAGAGAGTACACTGCAACGATTCTGAGCTATCGTTAACCATAATCCCCAAAACGTGCTAGGAGGATTTGGCTATCGTTAGAATAAATAGCCATACTTTACTAAAATATAACTAGGTTACTCATCAGTATTTTAGGAATATAATCAAACATTTTTCACTTACCAGTGCTGGATTTTTTCTTGGCAGCTAGTGACCACCTGTCATTAAAACAGATAACTACTCATGAAAAAAACAAGGCTAAGCACACAGCTGCAATGTCAATACATCAGAAACTAGAACAGTAGCTTTACAGATTTGGTGTTGTCTCTATATAAATTTTTTTTTGTCAGTGTAAAGGCATGTGAATGGTAGTTCTTAAGCGGCACACTTTATCACACACTAATGCAGACTGATAACCACAGAAAAAATTACAGCTTTTGAATTCACATTTTGGTACAATACCTGCTCCATAACTATTAGGTGACACATGATATAAGATAAGTAGTAGTTTGTGCAATCTGCAGATCTATTTTCAGCGTTACATGTTTGCAGAGTAAGAAAACAACATAAATTATAACAAGACACCAATGTAACTTCCACACTCAGTCATTAAAACACAAAACCAAATGATACCCCACAGGACCAAAAACACTTTTTCTTTTATCAAAGTACATCAACAAATGTTTCCATTGGCCATGTTAATTTGAAAAAGCACGAATGAATTTTGTGGGGTTTAAATACAAGGATATTTGACACCATTATGGGCTGCTGGCTTCCTTTCTGTTCCTTCTGGGTGTCAAAAAAAAAAAGTTTTAATCTGAATATTTCACTTCTTCATGCCAGAGGCTTCCCCCAAGAAATCCAAAATAATTTACAAAATAGAGTGCATTGTTAAAATGAAATACTTTTTTCCTTTTCTAACTGTATTTTTCTAGACCACGTAGATATAGCAAACAGACAAGACGCTGAAACCTGTGACCTTCTCTGCCATAATTACGTGGAGATTTTGTCTTTCAAAACATATTCTGATCTCTGAATAATGGTTACCAAAAATATAACACAAACAATTTCATTCAATTATATTAAATGCAATGAAGCCATGAGGCAATTAAATATGTCTAGACATCTTCTCAGTATAAGCATTTTCTAGATTTTTTTTGGTTTTTTTTTTACAAATTTGATTTTTCCTATAGCCAAAATAATACTAACATTTGAAAGCAATTAATGAGAAAATTTGCAGATAAAACAATAACATACATTCAAGTACCGCTGAAATCACTGGAGCAGATAATTCTTTTTTTTTCCAAACAGCAGAATGAAAGATAATTTTTTTTTTAGTTAGCATATGTGCAGCTATTGCAGAACAGATCTCAGACCCTGAGCTTTCTACTCATATAGGAGTAAAAAAAATGTGACTACTTTGTGAGCTAATAATTCTTTAAACAGAGTAAAGTACTTAAATGAAAAGGATCAGCTCTAGATTTGCAGTTACGCTATTTCATAATCCATCAGGAAATTCAGCCAGGTAGCTTGTCCCACGTAAGCCAAGTTTAAATTTATCATTTGCTTTAAACTCCTACAAATCAAACACCTAGCTAATATTTTCCTTAATGTGCAAGGTAACTATTCTTAAGGTTAAGAGCAAATATATAGACTTCTACAGGACATGAACTCAGAAATCTGAATCATACTATTAATATTAAGCCCATTTTAAGACTGAAGTTTCCGTAAAAGGTGTAAATCAAACAGCACAGCAACGTTCAGCAACAATGCTAAAACAGAATGGAGCCCACCACTAACACGTAGAAGAGTCAGAGCCTGTTCCATCAACATCCTTCTTTCTTTCAGATTTGGTAGAGATGGTGAAGTACACAACATAATTAAGCATACAAAAATGTTTATGAAATCCTTTAAGAAAGTTCCAGTTTAATTCCCCCATTACAGATGAAGATGGAAAAGACAGGAAGCTTTCCATTCCCAATACATGACTTTCCATGCATGAAGTGAGCTAAAAGCACAAAAGGAAAAGCCCTGCAAACCATAAGAGCAGCATGTTCATTAACCTCTACATGATAATCCTTTCACAGCTGCATATTAACTAGTTACATATTCATAATCATTTACATTATTTAGAGGACCTTCTATGAAAATTTCCAGGCTATATCCATTAGCTACAATGTTAAAGGTTAGAGAAGATAGTCTACTTAATGTTTCCAGGAAGCTTTTTTTAATTAGTAAATATGTAAATTGGGCACATATGCTTTTTATGTTTTTAAAAAATTGTCCATCAGTAAAATAGTATAGGGGCATATGCTGTTTTCATTGCCCTTTATCCCCTTTGAAAAAAAAAATGAAAAGAAAAATCAATAACAGCAATCAATTTTAATTTAATTCTTTTTTGATATAATCTCTCTTGAAGGGATACCAAAGGGTGGAACCAACAACAAACGTTTTCGCTGCAGCGGCCAACAGAAAATGAGACCTTTTACAGAAGTGCTAAAATATACCACCTTAAAAATGTTTCAGGCTGCACTTCTGGAACTGAACTCCATTAAAAAAATAGAGAATAAATATTGAAAAACAGATGGAGATCAATTATGCATGTGTCCTTTATTAGGTCAGTCCTGCTGTTTGGATAACAACTGCTCTTATCACAGCAAAGAAACAAGTAGATAAATATATAAACAAATCTTTGATTCTTTGCCTTTAATCAAACACAGGAAAATCATTAGTCTATCTTCCACACATAATTTATATCTAGAGTTACAATTAAAGCATGAAAATTCCTTTCAGCATAAATAAAATAAATAACCTGTTTGTTTGTTCATTTGAGTTCAGTTTGTCTGGATACATAGTGCCACCAACGATGCATCACTTTCAAGACATCATAGTAGAAGCAGTACCAATAAACTCTGAAGTCTCCCCTTTCAGGCATAAAATCATGAGTTGGTGAACGCACAGTTATCAATGGCTCATCTGCATACTGAAATATTTATTAAAATACTCTTGCAGCAAACTTAACATTATGTAATCATGGGTCTGGTTATTAAAACAGGATCCACTGGCAGAAAATATATTCCATAGTCTTAAAAGAAAGCAAATGGCCAAACACCTTGATTACTTCCTTTCCTTCAACAGCAACCTGTTCAAATGCAGTACTTCCCAAGCCCCCGACTGCACAGAGCCATGCCTGGGAGCTTCCTGAGCCGCCCCTTCCCGCCCTGGGAGAGCACACCTCCGCGTGCCTGCAACCCACGGTGTAACGCCTTCTGGACTAAAAACCAAACTGCTGAAGAAGATTACGTGTTGGTTCTGCTCTCATTACTCCTCAGTTGAGCTATTTAAAGGGAAAGGTACGTTGCTGCCTTTAGGGAATCTCTTGTTTCTAGGTTTTACAAGCAGAGTCCCAGCAGAGCAGGAGGAGCAGCTTTAGCCCTACAATCCCTTCCCAGATGCCCCCAGTTCCACCATGCCAATCTGAACACAGGGCAGTCTGCACGCTAGTGACTCCAAATCACCCCCAAACAACTCGTATCATACAGCCAAAGACTTCATTAACTGTCTGAAGGCAGAAAATGGCTTTTGTCTGCAACGCTTTCTCTCTTTCCAATCTATCTATTTATATTCCACCTTCCCTGGGATCTTCCATTGGAAGACTTCAAAAACTTTTCTGTGCATTGAAGTGTACAGCGCTCTGGGAAAGCACTGCACTGATTTTGCAGGCTGAGTAACTTAGCCACCAATTCTGGTCAAAAACAGAAGCCAGATGTCCTAACCCAGCAGCCAGGCACTACAAGCCCTCACAATGTTTCCTTGGGAATGAAGACGGTCCAGAAGGATGCTGGAGCATGAAGCTGATTCTCACCTGTGTGTGCCCATGGGTCTCTAACCTGTTCCACATTACCCCACTTGTCCCAAGCAGGTCCTCACCCTCACGTACAAGGGCACCTCTTTCTTCCACCCCATTTTTCCCTACCTGTTGCTTCTACACATGCTCCCATTACTAATAGCTGAATATTATACTTGGTGGTGCTTCTGGTTATCAAGGGGATGTGCAAATAGTTCTGCTCTCCTCTCCAGGGCAAGACTATTTTGTTTTATTTAGATAGTTCTCCAAGGTGGGGTGCATGCACGTGAACGTCTCTCTCTGCTAAGCAGCTAGGCACTGCCTACAAAGGTGATGGTTTCAGCGTGCTGAGGGTAATTCTCATGTGTTCTAAACAGCAATAAGGCAAGCTGCCGAGTCAGAATTTTATTTATGTCTCAGCTCGTGAGAAATTATAAGCAACAGAGCCGGTACTGGTATCATCTGTACACAGTTGCGGGTACCAGTGCTAAGCCTGCTGTATCCAAGTCACACAGTTACGTTCAAGTCTAAAGAGCTAGCAACTGGTATTTTTAAGGCGGAAGTTAATTTCAATGAAAATTATAAAAATAAAAATACCCCATCAGATTAGTTAGGGTTCCTAAATGAATGAGAGGCTATTTCCACACTTGTGGGTATGAATATGGAAATACGCAGCATGGCAAAAAAGCAAAGTTTCCGTTTAAACAAACAGGAAGTTAGGCACCTAAGAGGCCAAGTAAACGTGTGCTGTTTCTAGATGCATACTTGAGTATTTTGCTTCAAACCTGTGGCTCACAATCTGGCTGGTCTTCTGAAATTAGAAGCTAGGGACACAGATCTAATCCCAGCTCTCATTCTATTTCTTCTATATGGCCTTGAGCAACTCACAACCTCTCAGTCTACATTTCTTCATCTGCAAAATGGGGATAATAGTATTAACCTACCCACCTCAGAGTGTTTAATGATGATTAATTAATGTGAGAAAAGCACTCTAAAGATCTAAGAGCACTATATAAGTGATAAAGCATTATTTACCACTTGAAAAGTAATCTGAATAAAATCAGATATGCAAGTAATTTGTTTACATGCAGCAATAATATAATTTGTGACTATTTAATTTTGAATTAGTCTCACTTTAAACATCCCTTTCAATCATATTTCCAGTTACTTAGGGAAAATGACAGTATGGAATACTTTTTGTGGAAGCAGAGCAAGTAATGAGGTGGTAATTAAAGTAAGGGTCTAATAAAGTCTAAAACCAATGATCTGCCTTCAGGAGACTGTCCCTGCCATTTGGGACTGTGTAAATATCTCAGCCTTGACCTTGGTTCTGTTGTTCAGAACCTTCCATGAACTACAGTGGAAGTGCAT